AATCATTTTCGTTCCGTTATATCGTAGCGAAAGGGTAACGCCAAACTCGGTTTAGCCGCGGCTTTTGATTACACGCGTGATCTCTCCCCGTCCGCTGAATCGATCGATTTTCCATCCAGATTTCGACCGAATTTGCGGCCTCGCGGTACCGCGCTGTCAATTTTCCAGCATTAATTTGAATATTAATTCCCGATCATTGATAATCCGGGGTTAATGACATTACGATCGAAGAAAACACGAGATTGCGTAACACACGTGCGGGACTGTTTTCAACGTTTACTCGTCCAGCAGCATCGATAATACGCAAGTATGCACACCGTCTGAGTTTGTCGAAATGCCGTTTTCACCGTGTCTTTTTGAAAGAGGATTAAACGTTTCAACTTTTGTCGGGAAAATAATTTACTTTGACAGCTTCTCTCGGAAGCTGTTTCATCCCCGGCTTCTTTCATTCTTAATAGCGTGTACCTCGTAATCCTATATCACCCCGATGGAAGCTTTGCACGTACGTGTTCCGCGCGAGGCACGGTTGGTGAACGCGTGTTAACCTCCTTAATTGGCAGAAGGGATAAAAAAGAAACGAAAATGGAGGAGGAAACGCGGAGTGCCTTCTTTGCCTTCAAAAGACCATTTTTTTTTTTTTTTTTTCCGATTGAAGAAATACGATACTCCGACGCATGAACAATCGTCGGATATAATCGTTGGCAAAGTCCAAAAGATTCTTCCATCTTTCCACGACTTTCCATTCGACGTTCCATTATTCCGTTTAATTACTCGGATTTACGAGTTCTTGTCGCAAGAAAATGAGTTGGCAAAACGAATTCCCCGATTATACGCACCGGATACCTGGATTCGCGCAGGGTTCGTTTGTGCTCGTTCATCAACACGGACGAGGGAAGGAGGGTGAAAATAAAATGGCGGGACAGGTTGAAAATACGCGTGCAAGAAGAAATTGCGTGAAAGCTCTCTTCTTGAGAAGCTCGGTCAAAAGATACGCCCGCGTCTCGAGGGCTCGCGTCGACTTTTCGTCGCCTTTCCGTCCGTTTCTCCGACCATTCTCCGTCCTCCTCTCACTCTCGCGTACCCGCCACGCTTCTCGCTCCAATCCACCGCCGGCTTTTCACCCCTTGGTTGCTCAGCTTTTTTCAGTCGAGGCGTTGTAACGACTCCAATTTAGAGGTACGTACGCGGCATACTCGACGACAACCAACCCCTATCTCCCCTCTACATCAAGTTACCTTCTCTCTCTCTCCCTCTCTATCACGATGAACGACAGCGAAGCAAGTTTTTCGTGTTGCATAAGCAACGCGCGTTCACGACGCGCATCCACTTGCCTGAAGGGTAGAAAAGACGAGGAGGAGGAGGAGGAGGGAATGGAAGGAAGTCGAAGTGGAACGGAAACCGGTGGACGCGAGTCGGACGCGGAGGTGGGATAGCAAGTGGCGCAAGAAATTTGCAGGAAACAAGGGTGAACGCTACGTTTAGCCTCGCAATTGCCATAATAAAATCTTCGTGGCGTTAAATCTTCCGAGAGAGAAAGAAAAAGAGAGAGAATCTTGAGAGAGAGACATCATGAAAATCATTTTTTCCTTTTCTTTAGCAGAGCTTTTCACGTTAACGCGTTTGTTTATTCCGGAACCAAGCATCGTGAAGAAAAATTTATCGCGTTGAAACGGGAAACGGGCGAGATAGGCGAGAAAAAGAGAGAGGAAAAGGAAACGGAAGGAAGGAAAGATTAGGAGGGCGGTTAAATCGCGTCTCTTCCAAATTTTAGAACGCGAAGCCAAGTATTTTCCTCGTGACCCGGAAAGCGTAATTTGGTGGCGCGAACGCCAGAAAAATTGCGGCTCTTGACCCGGTGTCGACAATACGAGAAGGGAGAAATGCCGCAGCTTTCGCGATCGTAACATATTTATATTTTAATTCGAGGGACCGGGTTCGTTTCTTTGTTACCTTTCGTCGCGTTCAACGATTTCATTCGTATTTCGTAACGAAAACTCTTTGCTCTCCTCCCTTCCTTTTTTTTTTTTTTTTCCCCTCTCTACCTCTTCGCTGTTGCGTTTCAACTTTCCGCGAACGCTTGATTTCCGTTCGAAAATTTTAATGAAAACTGAAAACTCCCGCCGCTTGTTGACTGGAAACGTTAATCGACTCTCCGATCAAATCCAAAGTTCTCGATGATTGCGAAACGATCGTCAAAGCGTTAAGTGGATTCGTGGAGGGGGGTGAAAAAGCGTGGCCGGATCGACGCCACTCGATAATTTTGCGGTAACGTCGAGATAGCTTTGACGATGTGAAAAATGAAAAAAAAAAAAAAAAAAAAGAAGAGGAAGGAAGGGAGGGGAAATCAAACGCATCGAAATACCGTATCGCGTACAAGTTGAGCTTTGAAGAAGATGCGAAGACATTTATCCTCGATTGTTGGCAACCATCGAGCTTCTTTTCATCGTCCTTATAACGCGCGGAGAACCTTGGAGGACTTAATTACAAGGAAAAGACGATTACAGGAGAGGATAGTAGGTAGGGAGGAAGAAAGCGGGTGGAGGACAGTCTGGGGAGAAGAAGGATCGAGAGAGAGAGGAAGGGGTTGGACCGACTAGGAGGCGGTTGCACGATGGAATAAAAAGTTTCGTCGGGATTAACGATAACGACGATAATGAAGCCGCGTGTCACCGACGGGTTGGACGGGCGATCATTGTTCGACGTCGGATATCTCAGAGTCTTCTTGGAAATCTTTTCTTCGCTACCGGGGTTCGCGACAATGTTCCCGTTTTTCTCTCCGGATCGTCAGACGATGTCCTCCTCCTCGTTCCTCCCTTTTTTCCTTCCCGAGCAAGTTTCGCAGGAAGAAACGGAAAGTCTCGAAAGATCGACGAGTCAGCTTTTTATATAAATATTTTCAAGGAAATTTCATTGATGGTTTTACGCGTTGCCAAGCGATAATGCGTTGCACTTTGAAGTGTGGAACGATGAATTCTCATCTAAATTTGCCGCAGAGAGAGAAAAGAAGAGAGAAAAACAGAAAGAGAGTGCATTGTGTATACGTGTATAATTCCACTTATGAAATTGCATTTGGTCAACTGTTTGTTTCGGGAGGACATCGCAAAGAACGATGCAAATCTGTTTCGAGAGAATTGCGTCCTTTGTTAAACGTCGTACCACGCGGCCAACTTTCAAACCCTATTTTTCACCGATTCGTATCCTGAAACTTTCCACCAACTCTCGATCGACCGTCATTCTTCCTTCCGTCTTTTCTCTTCCTCTTCTTGCCATCGATCGTCGAGAATTTCGTAAGGGTTCCGTTTTCTTCCAGACCATCTGATCTTCAATCGCGCGCCAGACGGATAAATATACATCCACGCCTTCGAGATACGTGGTTGGCATGGTCGATAGGAAAAGTTACGCGCCTCTCTCGCGTATCCCTAACGGACGTCACTGTTCCTCGAATCCCTATATATATATATTAGACGTGTATAGATACAAACGATCTGCCCTTTTTCACGGAAACAAAGCGTACGAGTCAGTGATGGAAACTCGTGGAAAGCGAGTCGGTAAAAAACGAATCGTGTGGTCTAGAAGATAGCCAAGTTTAGCCAAGAAAAATTTTGACGACAATTCGAGGGAAATTATACTTGATATTTAAATCTATATTTTCTTACGATTAATACGCTTGGGATTTATCATATTTTCCATTCGATCGAAATATTGTGCGATTTACGTGGATGAGTTGCTCGACCGTGGGCGAGCAATATTCTTTTCAAATTCGTCGGATTTGGAGAAAAAGTACGAACGCGGTTAGTGAATATCTCCGTGGCAACAACTGCCGGCTCCCCCCGGACTTACTCTAAGTAAGTAATTGTAAGTAAATGAGGTGGTTCGCGAGCGTGCACTTGCTTGCGCGCTTACGCAGAAAAAAAATGTATACGCGGGTGAAAGGATGGCTTGAATTTAATTAAAAAAATTTTTTTAAACGGATAGCCCGCGCTGAATGCCTGCATTACGACAGTACTTTCTTTAACCGTAGACACATTCATTCGACGATTTATGCGATAACGCACGCTATATTTTACGAGATACCTATTAAGAACCTAAACGTCGAGAAGAATAGACGAAAAATTTCGAGAAATGAGAAAAAAACAGCCAAACCATTTAAAGATTTCACGAGGAAAACGATTAAAATTTTTAAAAATTGAAAGACATATAAAGAATTGAAACGCGTAATGCGTCCAATATTCTACGAGGGACGTTCCAAGAAGGATGTAAGAGGGATGTCGCAAAAATAAATTAATTTGAAAAGTTGAAAAGTTAAAACGAAGGATCTTAGAATAAAATTGTTGTTGCGTAATTTATATACCCGATATTCCACGCGAGATGTAAGAAGTTTGTACGAAAAATAAATGAATTTGGAAAAAAAAAAACCGAAAGGCCGCAAAACCATTTGACGACCCGTAATTTGTGGCATGGGCGTTTATCTCGGTACGAGTATGTTTGATCGTAGTTTGCATGCGTTGAATATTCATATCGAAATGGGCGTATCGATACAGGGTTATCACACGCGAAATTCAACCGCTGGAAATTTTTATGGTCCATTACGAGGGTTGCCAATGGTGCATAATGAAAATAACATTTTCGTCCTGATTTTCAATTTTTTATCAGGACGGGGGACGGGTTGGAGCCCCGATCGAAATTGATTTACACGATTCCCGATCGCGATTCGTTACTTCCGTCTCCTGTGTATTTGTTAATTTAAAAGATAATATTCATGAAATACTATACCGGCCAATATCGCAAACCAATAATCCACGCTTCGATAATGCACTCGACCATATTGTCGCGTTTATTTTTTCACCATTTTTCCATCGTATTCCGTAGTTACAAATTCATAGATTCGAAATTCGTTGGCGTTCGGTCGAACGAGTTCGTTATCGATCTAACGTTCCTTCCATGTTCATCGAGAGGACGCAAAACTCGAGGTTTCCTCGAGGTTTATTCTCTGTTTACAGTTTCATCTATACGCCGCTAGATCAATAAATACACTCGGGCGACGCGTTGCGTCGTAATATTTCACTTAAGTTCGAGCATTCGACCAGTCAACGACGAACAAGTATTTATTGTCGGCAGACACGTAACGTCCACTTTCGGTCAGAAACTTATCTCGGTCGAAGTTTACTGGCACCGAGGCAAACGGAGAAAAGTTGGCTGCCAGAAGGTTACAGTCCCTGTAACAATGAACTAGCCGGAATCGCGATAGACGAGCCAAGATGAAGCTGGGTGCTCCTTTCTCCTCCATCTCTCGGCCACACTCTCGGTCAGAGATAACAGAGGTACGTGATTTTTCAAATTCTACGTACTTCTCTACCGCGTACACGTATACTTTCCGCTTATTGTTAGAATTATAGGGAATGGAAATTTCCTTCGTTTATCCGTTCTCCTTTTATAACGATCTTCTTTTAATGATCTTGTGATTTTTTAAATTTTTATCCCTTTTCGATCAATTACTCTCCCCATGTTTTTATCCTTCTCGTTTTATTCCCCCTCCCCTCTCTTCCTCTTCACTTCGCTCATTCCTTTTTCTTTTCGCGTTTTCTCCACGCTCGTTTCGAAACCCGGAAGTGAAAGAACGAGAGACGGGAGTCGTACAGTACGTACAGTTTAGAACGGTCCATTTTATTTCAAAAGTGAATTCGGTGGAAATCAAATCCAGCGGCTATGGAATTGAAACCCCGGGCAACCGGGTTGGATGGATAGACACCTCATCGATCGGTGCGTACTATATATTCACCAGGACCCGTAGATAAATCATTTTAACGTGCAACTTACCTTCTGATCCTTCTGCCAGATACACTGCCCCCTCTTCCCGAGCACGCGGCATATCAACTTCGCGTCTTGTCCGGGATTCACCTCGGTGTATTGAGGTGTCTCCTCGAATTGCTGAATACCACGGCACACTGCGAACACAAAAAAAAAAAAANATAACATTCGTTAACGCTTCGACGCTTCTTTTTGGCGAAATTTCTTTTAAC